AATAATGATATGTAGTTTTATCATTATTACTAGTTTTTATTATTACAGCATTTAGACCACTGTTATGAGTCGGCTAAACGAAAAGATGCTGTCTGTTACTCCTAAGAACTTTTAAACTATCAATACCATTCTATTTCTTTACATTACCATAACCACTGTTAAGATTTTTATTCTTTTCTTCTTTCTATATACCTCTTCTTCCTTTTCTTTTCTTTTTCTCCTCATTCTTCCTTTCCCAATTATATGGACTTTGTTTTCGTCTTCTCTCCCATCCCCTCCCTTCGTCTTCCACGCAAAGGACACGGAATGAGCAACGAAGGGAGAACCGCGCGGTTCGTTTCCGGCCGAGATTCACACAAACCGGAACGCGTGGAAGGGGCCGTTACGCCGGGTAGTTAACAGCACTAATTGTTTTATCTACTGCTAATCGCCCCTTTATAAACGGCAGTTGGGTAACAAACGGCGACATCTCTCACCTCTTCTCGTTTTCTCCGTTTTCTCATGTCGCTCGTTTTCTTATTTTTTTCTCATTTTGTTCAGTTTTCTCCGTTTTCTCATGTCTCTCGTTTTCCTAATTTTTCTCATTTTTCCCCATTTTCTCAGTTTTCTCAATTTTCTCAGTTTTCTCAGTTTTCCCAATTTTCTCAATTTTCTCAGTTTTCCCCATTTTCTCAATTTTCTCAGTTTTCCCCGTTTTCTCGATTTTCTTTATTCTCTCCCATTGCCTCCGTTTGTCCTGCGTCCAGCTGGTGAGCGCCGTTGCAAAATGTGAGTGATGATGGAGAAGAATACGAATAAATGGTTCTGCTGGAGGTGGTTTTGTGTCGCGGGTCCGGCTGGGAGGAGAAAGAAGTTGTTTTCTCAGGATTACTTCTCTTTCTTTCTTTCTGGTTCTCCCCCCCCCCTCCAAACCCCCCTCGTGTCTCTGTCTCTCTGTCTGTCTCTCTTTTTCTTTCTTTTTTTCTTTTTCTTTTTCTCTTTCTCTTTCTCTTTTTCTTTGTCTTTCTCTTTGTATCTCTCTCTCTCTCTCTCTCTCTCTCTCTCTCTCTCTCTCTCTCTCTCTCTCTCTCTCTCTCTCTCTCTCTCTCTCTCTCTCTCTCTCTTTCTCTCTCTCTTTCTCTTTCTCTTTCTCTTTCTCTTTGAATGTCTCTCGTTAGCTTTTCTGTTTCGTCCTTTGCGAAATCAAGATAGAATTACAGATACTCCGAAAAACTGAAATGTGTGTTTGTGTGTCTGGTTTGTATATTTGTTTGTTCGTCTGAAAGAAGAGAAATAGGTCACACACACACACAAACACACACACACACACACACACACACACACACACACACACACACACACACACACACACACACACACACACACACACACACCACAGAAATACACACACAAGCACACACACACAAGCACAAACACACAAGCACAAATACACACGCACACACACACACGCACACACACACACGCACACACACACACGCACACACACACGTACACTCATTCACGCAAAGACCATATCCATTTTTTTTCATACATTTTCTTAAGGCTCATCCAAATCTCTGTTCATCTCAACCAGAGTAACTCATCAAGTGAATGGAGATTAAAAATACACACATCTCGTCTCGTCTCCATCTCATTTCCAGCCAGTTTAACAAATGCCGTAACATTACCATATCACAGAGCTAACCCCCCCTTCCCCCCTCCCCCCTTCCCCCTCCCCTGGGTGGTCTTTACGTAGAGCTCTTACAGTTTACATATATGCATATATAACGAAAGCATGAGTTTGCACATATGTCTATTAATTTTCATGTTTATTTTTTTGTTATTATTGTTATTGCTGTTATCATTATCTTTTGTTCTAAAATTTTCATCCATTGCAAGAAAAAACAAAAATCTGTGTAAATCACTATAATAATTTAATCCCTTAAATAAATATATCCTAATCCATTTTTTTAAGTATTTATAAACATGTTTACTTAATTCTTCCATTTCATTACAAAAATAGAGGGAAAATAATTATTTATAAATATGTTTATTTAGTTGAGAATTCTTCCATTGCATTACAAAAATAGAGGGAAAATAATTATTTATAAATATGTTTATTTAGTTGAGAATTCTTCCATTGCATTACAAAAATAGGGGAAAAAATAAGTATTTATAAATAGGTTTATTCTGGAGATAATTTATCCATTGCATTACAAAAATAGGAATAAAAATAAGTATTTATAAATGTTTATTCTGGAGATAATTTTTCCATTACATTACAAAAAAATAGAAAGAGAGAAAAATACCGAAGAAAAAAAATGTTACGGTGACGGGAATTCAATGCCCATTTTGTTTACTGTCCGTGGAGTGCTTTAATACGTCGGTCAGCTCGCGGTTCATTCATCGCGTCTTGTTGATTGTTTGCCTCGTCGAATTCCTGCTTTTGTTGCGAAGAGAGAGCGAAATTGCAAGTGCATTAAACTTGATAAACTTTCTTCTTCCTTTTCCTGTCTCTCTT